AGATGTTGGAGAGAACACCCTGTGCCAGGGGAGCAGAGGCAAGTAGTCAGGCCGATGGTCCCCCCGCCTCAACCTAGGGCAGCCCCATACCCGGCTCCACCCAGCCTTACCTTCTCACCCCAGGCCCAGAGGCCGATGGCCAGGAACAGGGCTCCCAGCACCTACAGAAGCAGCAGTGAAGAGCTAAGCATTGGAGTGTCAGCATCCTTCCCCACCCCCAGGAGAGTCTCTCACTGTCTAGTAGTCAGGGTCTTGGGAAAGGGGAGGGGTAAGGGGACTGGACTATAAATGGGGTCCCGGGTCCTTTCTACCTCCCCAAGAACACATTTCAGTTCTCACCCTAGCGCTTTCCGGAACTCAGCACTGCGGCAGAGGGTGGCCGGGACACTCCTGCCAAGCAGCAGCAACAGTGATGTCCTGAGCCTCTCCTCCCACCAAGCCTGTTCTAGCTTCCGGGCTGCTAGCCTCCTTCCTGCCTCCTCCCAATCTGGCCATCCTGCTGCCGGGAACTCTGTGACAGCTGCCCTGCTCTGCTCTGTTTTCAACGCTCATAAGCAAAGACCCCTGAATGACAAGGAATCCTGATGAGAGCAGGATCCAGCTTAGGGACGCCCATCTGGGCCAGAGGCTATGACCTTGAAAACATTTGGCCACAGTTCTGCCTGGACCTTCTAAGCACCACCCACCATCCTGCCTCAGTTCCTTACTGTGCAGAGTCCTGGATGTCCAGGCCATATGCTTGAGCCTGAGCAGATCCCCAGATATCCAGTCTCACATGGAGAGTGGCCCTTCTGTCCCAGCACAAGGCCATGACCCTGCCTCTTCACACCTTCCCCACCCACCCACTTTCCCAGGCTCCTTCCCCTTCCCCCACCAATTCCAGTCCATTCCACCATGACCACCCACTTTTAATGCTTTCCCCTCTCTCTGAAGACTCTTCTCGCTGCAGTACTCTTCTCGAAAAATGTCTTTCCTTCCCTCCCCCCACACTAGATCTGGGATGTGAAACCAAACATCACTGCTCCTGCCTCATCCCACTGCATGGCCTTGTGCTAGGGCACACCTGCCTGAGGCAAACACCTCCATGTCCCAGGCTCGGTTCCATGTGTGGGAAGTAAATCAGCAAACAGGACAAATGAGCTCTCTGCCCTCAAGGAGTTTACACTCCAGTGGGGAAAATCCACAGTGAGCAAACAACGAATTACAGATACCAACGGATCCTTTAAAGAAAAGCAAACAGTAATGCGGTGAGGAGTGACTGGGGGCCGTGGAGGTGTGCTTTTGTTAGGAAAAATGGGGACATTTTAGCTGAGCTCTGAATGATGAGGAAGTGTATCAAGGAGAAGAAAATTTCAGGTGGAGGGACTGCTGGAAGCCCAGGGGTAAGATCCAGTGCGGCGGTGCAAGGGACAGACTGAAGGGCAGCAGGGCCAGACCCCAGAGGGGACTAGAGATCGCTGGAGGAGTCTGGACTGTATTAATCGCTGAAAGGTTCTTAGCAGCGTTAACACCCGGGTCGAGGTTCCATTAGAACAAACAAAAATCTCTGGCACCTCCCTCCAGCCACTTGGATCCAAACCTGAAACCTTCTTATGGCCTCCCTAAGGGGCCTGGTCCTGTCAATTCAGCCTCATAACTTCCCCCGGAGACTTCCTCACTTCCCACTCCCCACCCCCCAGCTTCCCCCCAGCCCTCCTCCCTGGTCTCCCAACTTCCAGGCCCTCTGTATGTCCCCCCTACCCCCAAAGAAGGCAGACAGATCTGCCTCCAATACAAAAGCCAAAACAGACCCATCAACCAGCAATGAAGCCCTCAGTGCTTTACACTGTGCTCAATGTGAAACTCCAACACTGTCCCAGACCTGGGGCCTTTCCTGCTCTGGCTCCCCAACCGCACTCCCCTGCAAAAGTGGGTGTGCCTGGAACAATCCTGGGCTTCTCTCACCTGTCCCCCTTGGCATCTGGGGACTCACTCTTCTCCATGCTCTGCCTCACCCCACCCACTGCCCCCGGTATGTACCTTGGCTCTACACTTAACTAGCCTTGTGACTCCCCGTTAAAACGACTTAACCTGTCTGTGCCTATTCCCTCATCCATAAAATGTGGATAATAAATAACAAAGTAGCCGTGTGAATACAAGTTAGAATTCATTTAATCTGCCTAACAACCCCAAGTGGCAGGCTTTAGTATCACCCCTCCCAGGTAAGGAGGCCAGAGTCTTGCTGAATAAAACTGAATGGGCCTGGCATTTTGACTGAAGGCAGCAGGAACAGAGACTGTAGAGGCAGCAAGGAGCCATAGAGATGGGATGCGGGAGGGAGAAGGTAAAGATGACTTGGCAGGGCCCTGGGGCAGGTGCCACCCTGGGAGGGCTCCACTAGCAGCTCCCTTTTCTGGCAGGGGCAGCACCGCCCCAAAGGCTCGGTTTTGTCAGCTGCGTAATGTTGAATTCTGTTCCTCCAGGGTCAGCTCCGGACGTCCCAACAGGGGAGATCTCCTGTCCCCAGCAGAGTAAACTAGAGCTACTGGCCCTCCCAGCCCGCAAGCTCTCAATATGGAGCGGGCTGACCTACCCACCACCCTCCCACCCGACTTGCAGGAGCTTAAGGCTAGACGAGGGGATCTGGCCCTTCCCTTCACTGAGACACTCCTCCCTGTGGACTAAACCAGGTGCGGAGCTTAGCGCACAACCACACTCCACACTCCAGGGTAGCAAAGGAGCTGGGCAGGAGACAGGTCCGTGGGACCTTCAAGGAAACACCTCCCCTTTCTCTACCAGGGCTAGAGAAGATACTGGGAGACTCCACCTCCATACCCTACCCCCGCGGCGCCTGGGGCCCCGCCTCCAGCAATCCGGGCCTCCCCGGGGTTCCCTGGGGTGGTCCTGAGAGTGGGCGTGGAGGTGGGAGTGGGAAGAAGGTGGGGGGTGACGGTTCCAAGCCCTTAAGGCAGGGAGTGGTCCCTCCACCATCTCCACCAAGTAGGGGACTGAACCTCCTTCTCCCGCCACCCCCAACACGGGGCCCGGAACCCACCCCGCTCTCACCCAGAAGACAATGTTGAAGCCAAACAGGAAGTATTTCCCGCAGCAGCCGACCTCGGGTTCCTGGAAGTGCTGGTGCTTGCCGGGCATGGTGAGCAGCCGCCCGCCGGCCCGGAAACCGGAGCCGGGGCCGGGATCGGCCCTCCACGGGCCGCCCTGGGCTAGAGCCGCCCGGGGCCTAGCCCGGCGGCTGCGGCTTCATGGCTGCGGCCACACAGAGCGCAGATCCGGCCCCGCCCGCCCCGCAGGGACCGCCCCTGGCTACCCGCCGGTGCAGTCTCGTCGGAGCCCCGCAGCCTCTAGGCCTGACTCCGCCCCTGCCCTGCCCCCTCCGAGCCCCGCCCCCAGGGGCAGGCTCCGCCCCCGACTCGGAGCCCCGCCTCCAAGCCTGATCTACCCCGAGTGCTGGCAGCTGCGTAGATCTCCCCAGCGTCCTGCGGACCTGCAGCGTGATGATGGCCCCGCAAGTCGCAGGCACGAAGCACCCCCAGTCACTCCTACCCTACAAGGCTCAGTACCAGAACCACCCCAGTCCCCAGCCTTGCTGTCGGAATCCAGTCCAAGAGAGGAGTAACTGCTGCTCTAATGAGCAGATGGGGACGGTGATACGGTGTTTTTAAAACACGTGCCGTCCGCTTTATTACAGTGCAGTCGAATCAGATGCGCTTTTCACTCAATGGAAATTCATCTCGACCTCTCCTGGCTCAGACTCAGGCCAGAGGACAGTAGGGTCTTGTGAAGGCCACGCCTGCTGCTCCCTGACACTCTGGCATTGCCAGGGGCATATATATACCTGGCTCCTGGTCTCTAACCCCTCAAACATGGAAACCTGTCCCTGACTCTTTCCATCTTCCCCCTCTCCCCGTACTAGCTTGAGCCTGATTGGGCCCCGGGGGTCTCACATGAGCCCCCTTAAGGCCGGACAGGTGATGACGGTTTGCAGGGGCCCAAATATTACTCCATTTTAGAACTCTCGAAAATAATTCTAATTTTGTTCAAAAGTGTTTATTTAGAACAGGAACAGAAAAAGGGCTTAAACTTCATCACCTTTCAGCTAATCCACCTCAAGCAGAACCATGAGGGGACCTAACCACCGTTGTCCTCCATTCCTGGGCCAGGATCTCGTCTGTCTACCCACCTCCGCTTCAGCCTGACCCTGAGGCAGACGAGGCCCAGACACCCCAGACACAGCTGAGGACAGGGCAAGAGGACACACTTGTATCTCTGTGAGATAGTGGGGTTCTGCCTCCAAGCCTCCAACCCTTGTGACCTCTCATATAGCCCTGCTCCAGGGACCCACCCACATCTGGTTAAGGGAAGGTGCAACATACAGTACAAATCTCATGAGAAGGCAAACACATAAAGGCTTGAAGTAGAGTGATTACAAAGACGAGAGCCCAGCGCCCAGCCCCCAGCCCCTGTTCTTGAGCCCCAGCTCTCAGTGTCTGGGGCCTTGGGCCCTCTCCCCCAAAACAGAAGAGTCACCCTCAGGCCACCCAGCCCTTTTCCCAGGAGTACCCAAAGTAAGTGCTGGACTGTAGGATTCTCTTGTCATCTTTCCACCTTCAGTTGAGCTCTGCTTCCCCCAGTGACTCACCCCAACCCACCCTCTGATGAAACAAAAACATTGAGGGCTTTCCTCCACCTTTCCTGCATCCTCAGGCTGGCTCCCTGACCACAGAGCTGTCCCCTAGGCCTGAGCCCCAACTCAGGCCTAGGGACATGCTCCTATTCACTCCAGGACATGGGAGTTCAAAGAATGTTCATATTCACTCCAGGACATGGGAAAACCCAGTTGTCTACCCCCCAGTCCTGCCCAGCATCAGCACTGTAGCCCAGCACCACTTACACACACACACACACACACACACACACACACACAGAGAGAGAGAGAGAGAGAGAGAGAGAGAGCAGGGAGGCTCAGGGGCAGTTGAATGGAGAGGGGTGCCAAGGTCTCATCACACCACAAACTTATTCTTAGTTAGGGAGTTGCTCTTGGTGGCTGTGTCTGCGTGGGCCTGATACCCAATGACGATCTTCGTGGAGAGGCCTAGGCGCTCTTTGTAGACCTGCCTGGATGATGAGTAGAAGAGGAAATGAGACAGAGTCACCAGCGGGTCTTGGAGATAACCTGGGACCTCGGGGCCTCTGCCCAGAGCTCCCACCCTGGTTCCAGTCACCATCACTCTCTCTGCATCTTACCTACATGGAAACCCCAGATAGGACTCTTTAATGCAAAAGAAGAGTCCTGTTAGAAATAGCTTGAAATATGGATTCCAAACCCCTATAACAGGTGGGTAAGGAAGGAGATGACACAGAAAGTTCCAGAGGTCTCCCTCACAGGCCAAGCCACCACCCATCACACACACTCACCTTCTCCCCTGGAACAGACCCTGCGCCAGAGCTACCCCTCACCCAATGTGCAGCACGCCCGCCTGGTTCTCTGCCTCCCTCGTCCACACGGCGATCTTGTCCCCCTTGGTTCGGATGTTGATGACAGCCCCACACACCTCCCGGCTGTGCTCCTCAAAGCTCTCCCCGATCAGGCACAGCAGCTGGGGCCCAAAAGGGAGGATGGTGAGACCTCTACCTGAGTCACAGGGAGTGCTCCCACTATCCTGGAGACCACTGACACCACATCAGCCCAACCTCTTCTAGTGGGGGACCCTCCGCAGCCCTCCCTCCTCTCCCCAATGGCCACTCACAGTCTCCAGCCACAGGCGGTCCAGCTCGCTGTGGCGCTGCTGCTTGGCAAGACTGACCAGCCAGCGGCCACCCCTCTTATTCCTGCTGTCTTCCCACATGGGCTCAATGCCATCCTAAGAGGTGGGATAATCAATCAATAGCTTCCCTTTGTTTAAAGGGAAAGGTGGGCCCAACCACCTTCCCAGGCCCTGCTCCGGCCCCTAAATCAGCCTCCATAGGCCAGGGTCCCTCTTGCCTCCAACCCCTGTGAACAAGCAGGTTCTACCACCAGCCACTAAGCCCCCCAGACCCTCCCATGGGCTCCCCAGGCCACTGATCCTCGACACTTGTCACCTTTTGCAACCTTGTAGATATACATGTATGTGTGTCTCCTTTACTGAACTGAGTTCCTTGAGGCCAGGGTTCAAATGCCGGGGGCAGGGGGTATTAAGGAAGCCTCAGGGGCCACCGTAGTATGTACATAAGTCATCTGGGGAGGTCTTTAAACACGGAGGGGAGGGTCCCACCGCACACACCTGCTGGGTCAAGACCTCCAGAGATGAACACTGATGAGGGCCTGGATATTGATTCGGAGTGTTCCCGGACAATTCTGAGGCATGGCCCTAGTTAAGGAGCCGGGCCAGAAACCTGGGCTTCTTCCGAATTCCCCCTTATCCCCCATCCCCTTTCGGACTCTTTAAGGTCCTACAAGGCACAGCTCCAGCCTGACACGCTGTCCAAGCTTCTGTTTAGCATTTCCTTGGACTGGAAGTCACATCTCAGCTGAGGAAGGCTGTCTGTGGCCACCCCCATCCCCAAACCCTCCACGAGGGAGGAAGGCAGCAGAAGCTGAGAAGGATCAGCCCTCTTGGGGCCTGAAGGGTCCCCAAGTGGGTTAGGGGGAGGCAGAGCTTACCTTGAACAGGGCGTAGTCACAGCCGGAAGAGAGCTTACTAGCCAGCTGGATGTGACTGTACATTCTGGAGAGAACCCCCCCACCCCACCCCCAGGCTGAAAGTCCAGACTTTTTATGGCCTGGTTCCAAATTGCCTTGTCCCCCCCCCAACTTCTCACCAGACTCCACTACTTTCCACCCACTCTTCAGGCCTCCAAGACTTTGCTCACACCCTCCCACCCCCTGCCTGGAATCCCATCTCTACTTACCCAAACCCTCAAATGCCACCTTCTCCCTGGAACCTTCCCTAATCATCCAACCACCTGGGGAGGCTTTTAGAGCCCCCAGGGCTGGGTGGGAGAGGGGGTCCAGGCACCCCTCCCCAGCTGAGCCCCAGACTCTCACCCGCCCCTAGGCTTTGTGTCACACCTTTCAGATTCCTTCCCTTGATCACCCACGGTCAGACCAGATGGTCAGAAACAACCAGGCAGCCTAATCCTTCCTTTGTGGCTGAGACGAGATCAGAGAGGGAAAAGACCTCCCCAGAGCCACAAAGCCTTGGAGCTGCTGAGTCTGGGGCAACTCCTGGCTTCTCCCACCTTGTAGCCTCTCTCCCGAAGCCCCGAGAAGGTTTCGGGGGGGGGGCATGTCCCAGGCCCCAGGATTCCCACCCCCAAGCAGAACCCACCAAGCCCCAGCCCTCAGCAAATGCTGAGAGGTCCCAGGGAGAGCTGGGAGGAAAGAGCTCCATGGAGGGTTGGGGCCTGGGAAGGATCGCCAGCTCACAGTCCCCTGGCTCCGGCCTCCCCAGCCAGGAGCAGACACTCACGCCCAGAAGTCCTCCACAGTGTCAAACTTGGTGACCAGATGCAGGTTGTCCTGCCAGGCACGGCTGCGGTCATTCTTGAAGAACCACAGCGCCCACCTGGGGGAGGGGAGGCCAGGAGGAAGCAGAGAGCCGGCCCTCTTGGGCCCATCACCAGCAGCACCTGTGCTGGCGGGGAAGTCATGCTCCTTCAGGGACAAATGATGAGATGGGATTTGGGCACAGGACACCCACCCCCCAACCCCACCACAGTGACTGGGGTTAGTTATCCTGAAAGGCTGGGCAGGATGGGGGAATTTAACACAGAATCTCAGTTGGGTTAAGGCCAAAAGGGTCAATAGGGCCCAAGCCTTATGCCTGCTCTGACCTTTCTTGGATGAGGAACCGGGGCCGAGAGAAGTAGGTCTAGTTCAAGGCCACAAAACCTGCCTTACCTGTTCAGCAGCGGGTGTAACTCCAACTTGACCCCCTGGGGGGCCCCATCCTGGGCCTTCCTCCTCTGGGACAGCAGGGCCCCGGGGGGATTCAGAGCCCCCTCTGCCATCAAGACCGGCCCTGCTGCCCCCTCTTTCTCTTCCTTTTTCTCCTCCTTCTCCCCCAACTTTCGGATTCCACCCTCAGCCTCTCTGGCCTGACCGAAGAAAGGAATCAGGGTGAGCAGCAAGCCCTGTCCCCCCGAGCCCCATCCCTTGCTGCACGAGGGGCAGGGAGCTGGACCTACAGGGCTGATGGCAGCCATAAGGCAACCTGAGCTTCATCCCAGTTGGCCCCCAGCTGCCAGCTTTTAACCCACCAGCGCTGCCCCACCCCTCCCCCAGAGCACGGGATGGGGAGGAGCCGGAGTAGTGTGGCTGGCGCTCAGAGGGGAAAGGGCTTGCACTATGCGTCTCATCAGCAAGCATTTAGTGAGCACCTTTGCATGCAGGCAGGTGGGAGGGGAACAGGTGTGACCAGACAAACCCAGCCACCACACACACGGCCATGGGCTGGCTGGGTCACAGAAGGTAAGCGTCAATATTAGGGATCTGCCCTTTGTGCAATCACATCCCCTGGAGGATGGGCCTAGAATGGGCGCAGTAGGGAGGGGGTGGGGCGGAAGAAGGAAAAGCTCTGGCTCTGGCTACCCTTCCCCTTCCTTCTCAACAACACTCTTTTCTGCAGGAGCTGAGGGCTCCCCAAATTTCTCACCCTCCTCTTGGCTACTTCTAGGGTCTGAGATCTATAAAGAGACTAGTCTCCTCCCCCTACACCCAGGGAAGCCCTTGACCACCTGGAGGCTGACAGTCAATCTGTCTCCAACCCACATGCCCTAAGCTCCAGGTACCGACCAGGCATGGGGCTGGGTGCGGGGAGGCACTGAGGGGTCAAAACTGAGTAACTCCTGTGCTCTGCTCTATCAGGGGGAGCCAGAGAGCAGGGACTCTCACAAACACCCGTGTAGTCACAGATTCAGACCTCGGAAGGAAGGGAGGGAAGGAAGGAAGGGAAGATGGAGAAAGATAAGTCCATGACCTGAACTGGGGGCTTTCGAGTGGCAGTTCTCCAGTACATGGATCAGAACCACCTGCAGGCCTTGTTAAACAGGCTGCTGGGTCCTGCCCTCAGAATCTGATAAAAATGGCATTTCTAACAAGCTCCCTGAGGATGCTGGTCAAGAAGCCCATTTTGAGAACCACTAGCTTGGAGGCAGTTCATGGATGAGGTGATGTTTGCTCTGATACCTAAGGCATGAATAAGAGTTAACTAGGTGGGTGGAAAAGGGCATCTCAGGGACTGGGAGCAGCATGTGCAAAGGCCCAGGGGCAAAGGGAACATGGGGCACTGGAGGAAAAAAAGAAACACCGGTTGTGGCTGATGCCCAAAGGAGGAAAGGGTGGTAGGTCTTGATCTTAGGAAAATGGAGAGCCACTGAGGACTTCAAGTGGATACAGATGGGCTGGGGAGGTAATCAGATGGGCTTTGCAGCAAGTTCTTTGGGCTTCTCTGCAGGAAACAGACTCTGGTAGCGAGAGGAGGAGATCTATTCAGTTACTAATATAGTTGTCCAGGTGGCAGATCTGGTGACAGGGAAGGTGAGGAGAACATGATGGATGTCAGAAGTGTTTGGAAGGAAGACTGTTTAGCCTCTGGTGATGGATTGGCTCTGGAGAGGTGGGCCACAGTGTCCCAACTACCTGTTGCCACATCACAAGCCACCCCAAACTTAATGGCTTAAAACAGCAACAGTCCTCTGTTTTGCTCACCAATCTACAGTTCAGGTTGTGCTCACTAGGGACAGCTCAGCTCTGCTCCAAAGTGCCACTCCAAAGTCAGTCAGAGTGGCTTACAGGCTGGGGCTAGAGTCATCCGGTCCCTCCCTGGGACAGTTGATGCCAGCAGTCAGCTGGACCCTCAGCTGGGAGTATTGGCTGGGACAGCTCTATGTACCTCTCCATGTGGCTGCTTGGCCTTCTCACGGCATGGTAGCTAGGTTCCCAGAAGCAGCATCCCAAGAGACAGGAAGCAAGAACTGCCAGCTTCTTAAGGCCTGGGCCCAAAACCTGGCACAGCTTTGTGTCCGCTGTATTCTATTAGTGTCCCAGGGCCCACATTCAAAGACAGGGACATAATCCCACCTCCTGATTGGAAGAGTGTCCAAGAATTTTGGACCGAGGAAGCACTAGAGGAGGGCCAGGGTTGAGGAGAGATCATGAATCTATATTCGATGGAGAAAAAAGGAAAAAGGACCTTCCCTGAGTGCCAGGCTTGGTCTTAGCTGCCTTAGAGTCCTGGCCCAGAGCCTGGCATGGAACGCCCCTGCCAGCCGCAGTGCCCCTTCCCACCTTCTTCCACATCTTCCTGCATGGGACAGCGTGTGGATTCTGGAGTTAGATTACTAAGGAAAGACCCTAGGAATAAACCTCTGACCTATGGGGTCCTGGTCCCTACTCAAAGCCCTCCCAAGTCTATCTATGGAGGACTTCTGCACAGTGGGCTCCTGCACCCCAATCCTACCATACTATTCCGAAAATATCTTGAATCTGCCCATTCCTCTTATTCCCCACTGCCCCCACTCTAGGGAAGCCTGCCATCTCTGGCCTGGGCCACAGCCCAAGTCTCTCCTAACGCTCTCCTTACTTCTACTTCCTCCTCCTCCTTACAGAACATTCTCCACTTGCCTCAGAGAGCTCGTTTAAAATATTAATCTGACCACTTAAGTCCTCTGTTTAAAACCCTCCAGGACACCCAGATTGTGACCCAAAGTCCAGGTTGTGGGCCTGCAGGTTTCTGCATGATCCAGCCTCACAGTGCTCCAAGCACACCGAGCCTCCAATAGGCCAGACTGGCTCTTGCCTCAGGGCCTTTGCACTTGCCATTTGCTCTCCAACTCTTTGCAGGACTGACTTCTTGTCCTTCTGGGCTGGGCTCAAATGTTGCCTTCTCAAAGAGGGCCTCCCAGTATAGCCCCTCCTAACACACCATGTATTTTCCTTATTTATTTTACTCATCTGCCTTCCTCTACTAGAACAGAAGAACCATTCACAGCTGTGCTCTCTAGTACCTGTAGCTCTTAGCAAGGACTCGGAGGGCTAAGTGAGGAGGGAGATCACTGATTTGGACACGAGCAGCACCATCTAAAACATCTCATCTGGCCAATAGCTCATTGGCTGTCTATTGCTTCCTACTAGAATTTCAGTGTTAGAAGAGCAAGGACTTCATGGTCTTGTTTTCTGCTGTATCTCTGGTACTAGAACAGGGTCTGGCACCTGGTAGGCACTCAGGAGAAACTGACTGGAAAGAATAGATGCCAATGGCGGGTTATATGACTTCCCCTCTTTGGTTGTTGGCTCCCTCATCTGTAAGCAGGGGAGGGGACTGAAAATGCCTGTTTTCCAGGATTGATTTCAGGGATTAATGATACAATGGAGGCCAGGCCTGCGATGTGGTAGGCGTGCGATGAGCATCATTCACTCCTCTCTCGGTTTTCAGCTCCCACCCCGCCTGCCGGCCTTCCTCCCCAACCTGAGGCCTCCGTACAGCCCGAATGTTGATAAATGTTTAATCACGCAGTCAGGCACCACACACAGAGTTACAAAGACCCAGCTGGATTTTCAAAAAACCCAGGCAGGGCTGGGATCACCAGGATCTCCGTGATCCTCTTAAGAGAATGCGGGCCGCTCCAGCCGCCCCAGCTGCTCCAGCCCCTCCAGCTTGCTCCGCTGGGGATTTTCTCCCAACCCCTCCCCACATTCTCCCACCCTTCCCTCCCCCAAGCTCCCGCAACCATTCTCACTACGTTCTTAGGAAGAGGAAAGGGAAGAGAGGAATGGAGAGACCCATTTTCCTGGGGGAGAGAAAATGGAACCGAGGAGAGGTCCTGGAGAATTCACAGGATCAGGGCCTGGTCAGAAGGAGGCCCAGAGGGGCCTGGGCTCTGCCATCCTGTACCCTAAAGGGGAGAGGGGGAGGAGGTGGGCCGCAGTGTGACACAGGGTGAAGAATCCCTTGTGCTGGAAAGTGGCGGCCCAGTGGCCACGCTGCCTTCTTTCTGGAGACAGTACATAGAGAGAGGACAGTACATAGAGAGTCAAAGAAATATCTAGCAGATGTTAACACCTGGTGAATCTAGCTGGAGAATATTCTGGTATTCGTTACATTAATATTGCAACTCTTCTGGAGATTTTATTCGCTGTAGTGTGCTCCTCGCAAATTTTCTCTAGGTTTGAAATTTTTCAAAATAAAAAAGCTGGGTGCAAAAAGAAATAGCGACAGCGATGCTAGTAGCCTTCTCAGTAACCATGCTCCCCCTCTCATACTTTGATTCTGGGAAGTCATAGGCCCAAGTTAGATTGCCACACATTTCCAGCCTCCCTAAAGCAAGGCATAGCCTGGAGGCATGCAGAAGTTGTTAGTTTCTGAAAACTCCTTGGGAAAGAGATCGACAACTGGCAGCTGCCCTTTTACCTTACTTCCTCTCCTCCTGCCTTCTGCATAGATATGATGGCTGGAGCTGCCGCAGCTGTTTTGGACCGTGAGATGACCTTGAAGGTAGAATTCGTGCACTAAGAATGGTGGCACAGGCCCTGCATCCACATTGGGCTCTTCCTCCTCCCTCTCTCTCTGCCTGCCTCTCTGCCTACTTGTGATTCTGTCAAATAAATAAATAAAATCTTAAAAAAAAAAAAAAAAAGAATGGTGGTACAAGAAGGTAGGAGTCTAGATTCCTGAGGAATGTGCAGTTGTCAAACCAGCTGTGGCCTGCCTACCACTGGGCTTCTTTAAGTGAAGGAATAAAAACCTGCTTTGCCTAAGCTTCTGTATTAGCAGCCAGATGAACTGCCTGCCTGATTCACAATGTAACCCTGTCTTCTGCTCCGTTTGTACCCTGGACTTTTTCACCTGTTGAATCTTCTGCCAAGAATGTTCACCATCACTTGTGAGGTCCTTCTCATCTTTCAAAACCCAGCCTGAATATCACTTTCTCCTGGAGGCTTTCTGGAGGTGCCCCTTCCCTCCTGGGATCGCATAACCCCTGTGCTACTGTTAATGTCCCTGACGGCCCCTTTGCTGTGAATCTGAGGGCTCATCACTCCTCGTTGCTTTTGGCCCCTCTGTAGCATTTAACCAGCTGTCCTCTCATCCCCTTGGTTTCCCGGCTACCAATCTTTCCAGCTTCTCCTCTTCCCTGTGCTGCTCCTTCTCAGTCTCTTAGCCAGGTCCTCTGCCCCTGGCCACATGTGAAGTTTGCAGTGCCTCAGGGTTCTCTTCTGGACCCTCTCCTTGTCACTCTCCATGTTCTCCTGGGCAACCGCATCCCCCATGGCTCTAGCCACCACCTGCATGCTAATGACTCCAAATCCGGTAGGATACTGGGCTGCCTTAGACCAGCTCATGAGAGCAATTATTACAGTT